CTATTTTTCCCCTTTCTAATTTTAGTTGTTGGTGTTCAGGACAGAGAAGCATCAACTTTCCCACAAAAAAAAAAATGCAGTATACAATAGCAAAACAATTCTGGTGGCATGAGGCTCAAGATTGTTGTCCCTTGAAAATAAATACATGTAGGCTTTTGAGGTGAATGAGGGATAGGTGGTAACCCACAATGCTACTTGAAAGAAAAGTTGCAACCCGAAGCCATCCTCACAATGGGAGTTGGTGGCATTTAGCTTAGAAGAACCTACTTTGAAACTGGAACAACTGAACCTAAAAATAATAAAGATTTTCTCCCCCTCCTCTGTGCTCAGAGTGACTGATGAAAGAGAATGCAGTAATTGCAAACATACGTCCTTTTTCTTTTGTGAGGAGGAAAGTTTGGATGAACTGTAATCTAATGATCCACATGAAGTCCTATATTCAGCCTGCTCATCTTCATACTGATTTGTGTCTTCAGCACAGCTATTATTTCTTTATAATTAGAACATAAACCTTCTAAAAATGTTTGCAATATGACAGGTGAGACATTAGCTTGCAAGACAAACCTTGTGAAGAAAAATACTTTGGTTTTGTATTTCAGTCTGTAAATATGATGGTTTATATTAAAAAACACATTCCCTCAGCTGTGTCTGCAGACAAACAAAGCAAACCCTCAGCTTCAGATAAAGAGGTGACTTTTAAGGCTTACTCTTGACTTCTTCCAGCCTCCAGTAACTTTTAACCTTCCAAACTGACACATGTTTTGCCCTACTACTAAAAGGTCATAGAGTCACAAGAATTCAAATACTTAATGTTTAAGGAATTTTTCATTTATATTTTGAAAAAGATCTTGCAATTATTTTGCTGTTCTGTGTGATTGTAGTAGTGCTGCTTCTCCTCCAAGAAAAGTCACAGCTAATTTTAGGAGGAATATTCCTGTCTGGTTTAAGATAAACTGGCTGAAACAATTGGCAGTGAGTGGGTACGTGGGTGTTGTTGGAGGGAGGAGGAGGTTGATTTGTGGAAGTGGTGTGGTATGGAATAAAATCCTGCAAGCTGAGAAACTTGAGCGTATGGGAGATCCAAGCCACATCCTTGCTCAGTCATCCTCAATCTAGAGCCTCAGAACATGAGTATTTTCATGCCAAGAGCAAACTTTAAACACTGGGCCAAGAGGTTTTTAGTGGTACATCTGGTTTTGGTGTAAGCTACTTCTAAGGGATTACTGAAAGATGTCTAACAAAGTCAAACCTACTTGTCTTAAGTCATATAGCTGAAGTAAGCCTAAAAATCAGGAAAAGCTGCCTACAAAAGGGGAAGAGGGGAAGTAACTTGCAGGTTCCTCAGTGAGAAAATGAGTGTGTATAGCTTAAAGCTGGAACATTTTCTTAGGCTACGGAAAAACACAACTGTAAGTTAATGTGAGTGAAGCCAGGTAAAAGTGCAAACGGCTCTTGGAGCGGTGGGTGGGTGCTGTGGCCAAGAGGCTGGGTACCTGCTGGCTCTGGGTGCCCTGCTGTGAGTCTACTGCTTTGACAGAAGTGGTATTTCAAAAGTGCAGGAAGCTGAGTCTTCAGAAACTTGTATTTCAGTCTTCCGAAATCCATAACTGCTGTCTACTTCTCAGCTGAATTGTGTAATTGTTGTGCTTTTACTTCAACAAGCTCACAAACATTCATTACCCTGATTATCTGTCACTTGTAGTAATCTTTTTATCATATATGTCTTCATTTCCCACAAGTGGACTTGAAAGCCTTCCTGATCTAGAGACATCTAATTTGCTGAGGAAACCCTTTCTTTTGAGAACAGAAGACTGTAAGTCAACTCCGACCCCCAAATACAAATGCTGTTTTCTAAGCACATTTAATGGCAATTGACTGAAACTTTTCAGGCAAGCTTTGAAGTGGTGTAAAAGTCATCTAAAGCTATAGCTGCTCTTGTTCACTGAGATGCTGCAACAACTTTACTGGAAGTAAAATAGAGTACTAGTTTATTTGTACAAGATTTTTTTTCACTTAAAGTAAATCTACTACACTTTGAGAGTGAAAGAGGTTGGCAGAAGTTAGGTCTTGTGGCTCTACAGGTTTATGAATAGTTGAAGTTACTCAGCTGTCAATTGTGGTAACAGTCTTTTTAGAGTTTAAACAGTGTTTTCTTCACAGAAAATCTTTACTGAACTCCCCTAGAGGATCACTTATGGCGGCATATGGAAATGGAGAATGCTGCCCTCCGGTCCTCCTTGTTTGAAGATGACTGTAAATTCTGACAGTCTGATTTTCTTCTCAGTCTAGCCTGGATGCCAGTAGCTTAATGCCATTTGAATGTGTGTGTCCACAGAAGTGAATTGTTGCGAGAATCGCAGTGCATGGCACTAACTTCTATCCCTGCACTTAGCGGATGGCAGTGTTTACAAGGCCTGACTGCCAGACACGGAAGTCATGAACCAAGACAGCAGTGTAGACATTCTGTGGTTTTGTTTGTGCTGGAAATGATGACACTAGGTCTTGAAAAACCTTCCTGGGGGAGTCAGGTGGAACTTGATTGCTTTGTGCTCCAGAGGAGGAAGCTGCTTTTGAGTCCATCACCTTTCTATGGCCCCAGATGTTGGCTAGGCCTGTGCTGCAGGAGACTCGCTGTTGAAGCCTGCAGAGTGAACTGTTCCTCTCCAAGCTGGAGGGCTTTGACTTCTGTGGCATCAGGACTTCCACTGTAGGTGACTTCCCTCTGCTGCCCCCTTTTAATTAAAAGAGAGAAAGCAAGGCGAATTACTCGTGTAATTTCAAGGGTGGGCTTTTGAAGAGGTCCAAAATTGGCACATTTAACCACTTGTTGTGCATGGGTCACTTTGTTATGCTTTTCCCTTGCGAACAACAACCTTTCTTTGTGTTTAGCTTTGTGGTAGAAGGCAGGGGTTTATGAACAGCAACGTTGACTTCCTAAAATACTGGTTTTGAAACAGTCTAATTTTTAATGAGCATTCGAAACAAATTTGTGTTTGGCTGTAGCTGGCAATTCTTCTTGAAGAGAAGAGTATCTTGAAGCTCCTACTGTGCCTCGCTTGGATGAACCAATTTTGGAGTTCAGATGAGTGGAACTTCTCTTCCCTTTAAAGCAGTAGCAAAGAAGCAGCATCATTTTCAGCAAGGAGCTGACCTCAGAGGCTGAGGTCAGCACACACTTTTAGAAGGGGTTGATTTGACAGCTCCTGACACTTCTGGCGTGTTCCTTACACTGCTGCCCTTATGGGTCAAATATTGTGGAGAAGCTTCCTTTGTTCAAGTTGATGCTAAAAAGCTGAGACTCGGCTGTGTGAATCTTTCACAAGCTGTATCTTTTAAACAGGAAATTATTAGACTGGAGAAGGGGAGCAGGTTGCATCCCCTCCAGTTTTTGCCAATCTCCTGTGCTTGCTGCCGTCAAAGACCTATCAAAAGCTGTGGGGGAGTGTTAGGATCCTGCCTACTGTGTTCATTAATGAACTGGAGTTTGATGTTAGCATCTCTCTGCCCTTGCAAGCAGGTGTCACTGCAGCCAGCACCAATTACAGCTGTATTCAGGGGACAGCAACATGATTCAGCCAGTCAAAAACAATATAAATGAATGAAGCTTTCACAGTTCAGGGATTATATATTTTTAGCAAGCTGTATGTGATGTAAACCAACAAGATAGCTGCATTTTTCTGAACTCAAATGCTTGTTCTGTTCCTGTCAGCAGGCAACAGCATAGTGTAAAACTTGCAAGTTAACAGAAGGGAAAGAATAGGAGAACAAGGCAGGCTAAGAAGACTTCTCATCAGTGCTGGTAGGCTCTGCAAAAGAAAACAGATTTGATGTTCTCTAGATCTGTAAATCTGGGACAAAAGAGGCCAGACTTTGAAGGTCTTCAGGTACTTTTCAGCATGCTACATTAAGTGCTAATGAAAAATGGGGTCTTAAAATGATTTCTTAACACCTCAACTTTCATTCAGGCCTTTTTGTGGTTTGTACTAACACACAGCTTGAGAGTGTGGTCTTGTTCCCTTTGAGTCTTGGAATAAGCTGTTACAGTAGCAGATGTGTAACAGTACTCAGTTTTCTGGCAGCAAGTAAAGATGTTTTATTGCCTTTTAGAGAATATGAATTACAGGAATCTGAGAGGTCTGCATCACTTAGTCAAATATGGCTTGTATGTGAATACATTTTAGAAACCTGAAATAAAGAGGTGATGACTGGGAAGAGTCTGTAGTACATGGGCAGAGTTATATTTAGGATGTTTCTTCTTGAATTCTTCCTGTTCCTCTCCTCTACTGGAACTGAATGGTAATCATAATGAAAATTAACTGTAGGACACCAAATATCAGAATGGATGAGCGATGTGGTCAACTGTATTTTAAGACCTCATATGTATAATTTAATAAAGTTGGTCACCAGGTGAGTTGATTACCTGACATCTCCTATAGTGAATTAAATCAGGACCCTGTAGTAGCTCTTTGCTTACATGTTCCCTTTACCCAAGGTCTCCAAGTGCTATTGCAAATCTTGGGGAACAGAGAACTTTTAAACAGCAGAGCAATCAGAGTGTGTCTTTAAAACTACCACGTGGAACCTGCTGTGAACCAGACAGGTGTTTGAAATTGCTTGGATTTTCCTTCAAGATTTTCACTTAATTCTGTACTCATTCAAATTTTTGACTCTTCCTGAGAAGATACACGGTAATAGTATAGTCTGGTCAAAGTGTGTGCTCAAGCTGAAGAGTGTGAACAAATCATTATAATGATTTTTATTTTGTTTTTATTGATGTGAGATTTCTTAACATCTTTCCCATGTATTTCCATGGATGTTTGTTTCAAGAGCAATCTTGGTACTGGTGTACCGCTTGTTTCATGCTGTTGGTTTTTTGGACTTTTTTTTGTGTTAGTAAATAGATCTTAATTCTATTTCTACAGCACTGATATTGCCTGCAGAGAAGAGGTAATCGGTGATCAACAGATTACTGTTCCAGCAACGCAAACCAAACAGTCACCATGAAACACTTCCTGAGGTAACGTTCTGCCTTTTTCCAGGAGTGTTAAATTATTCTAATTCTGTGCTGCAGTGAGTTAAGTGTTTTGGCTGTTACCAGTAGTACAAAAGTTATAAACTAGTTTATACTAGATTGCCTTCTGTTCACCTAGATTTCACTATTTAATTAAAGTTCTTTTAATTAAAATTTTCCTTTCCAGTCCTTTATAGAAGCAAAGAATATGGGAACTATCTCATGGGATTGGAGCAGTGATGTATCATATCAGTCGTGCCTGATATGTCGGGGGAAAATAGGAGAAACAGTAACATAGAACAGTGCTTGAAAAATGTTGGGGTTTTTCTTTGCCATTCTTGCCTGCTGACTGGGTTTTTGAAGTATTGTTTTTGAAAGCAGAGAAGGGGACATGCTTGGTGAAGATGTGCAAATGTTTTTGAAGATGATTGTGCTCCGTTTGGGGAGAAATGTCTTACTTGCTTCTACATATGACTTGCAGTTGTTTCTCTGTAAACAAGGGGTAGAATGGGGGACTTGCAGACACCAGCTGTAGGTGCAGAAAGCTCATGTTGTCTTTGTTCTGTAGTCAGTGGAGAGAGTTCAGAACTCCTAGAAACTAATACAGATCAAGAGCTTAACTTGTGTATAAACCAAAGAAATCATATTCTGTCTGGGTGGGAAAAACCTTTTCCGGAGGGCTGAAACATATGCTTCTGTATAGAGAGAGCATCTGTCACTATTTTTCTTCCATTTTAGACTGTTTATAGCAAAGAATCTTATACACTATGGATGTCAGCATCATTACCTCTAGGCTGATCATCTGTAATGATTTTGCTGCCAAGCCAGCATTTCTGTGGAGTGTGGGTCAGTTTCCTTGGGTATATTGAGCCAGCTCAAGGACAAGCCAGTCAAAGGACTCTGTAACCAGGACATGCAGAGGTTAAAAGTATAAAGCAATTATTGATTTGCTAACACCCACAAAGGACGGCTAAGATTTAATGAGGCATTAGGATAAGTGTTAACGTGCTCATCACCCTGATAGGCACCAGTCAAGAGGGAAAGGATTGGCCCCTGCAGCTCTGTGGCCTAGATCCTGGATGGTCTCAAGTTTTCCACTAACACTATTGATCCAGTGACCTGATGGTTCACAACTAGCCTGGCTAACAACCCTGTGGTGCTTTTTCCCTTTACAATTTTATGACATCCCATGTTGAAGCCTGCCTTCCTTGGATCCTACTAATGATTTCCATCTCAGCAGTCCTACCTTTATAATTTTTACTTCAGTGTACAGACTTGCTCAGCAGCCTGGCCCAAGGTCACAAATTGGTGCCATATGGGATCCAAGCCATGAATCCCACATAAATAGGACTCTAAGATCCTGTGGGTGGGGTGGGAGTCTCCAGCTGTGGCCACAGAGGGTGTTGCGGCTTGGCCCCCTAATGAGCTGGTATCTTCTGAGCATAACGTAATTTTGCTCCCTCCTGAGGGAGAAGCTGAGCTGCTTACAGCTTCTAAGGTACCAGCTCTTCCCTGTCTACGGTAGATGTTTGCTTCTCCCTTTAAACTGCCTGTTCTGCCTTCCTTTGGCTCTCCTGGCCCCTTAGTGTGTTTTCCATGGTGGAGAAAGCGTACTGTTTTGAAGAAACTACTTTGTACTTCTTTTCATGATATCTCTAAAATCAGTGAATCCTAAAAGATTTGAGAAGTCTTGATGGTGTTAGTTTCTCTTGGGTAGTCAGGGTAGATCTTTGGAAAATCAATAGATTATCTAAATAGCACAAGTTGGACTTCTGTTGTGGAAAGTCCAGTATTCCAAATGCTGAACTAAGCTATTAAGGCTGGGGGTAGGAAAGACAAAGCACTTCAAATAGGAAAATGCTGTTGAAATAGAAAAGCTGTTCTGTTTATTTACAAGCATCTGGATTTTCTTAATTTATGTTAATCCTTTGACATGAACTGATTTATGAGTACTCTACTCGTATGTTAGGGGAGTGTTGCTGGCCAGTAAACTACAGGACTCTCTATACTTATATCTCTAATCCAAGGCAATGTCTAAATGGAAATAGCTGTTCTAGGTCTCTTTTTCTTTCTCGGCTTGCTCTGATATTTCAGACTTCATGAATAATTCATATTATTTATGAAATAATAGAACTGTTTCTCAGTGGAATACTTAATCTTTCAGCACTTTCTCTTTTTGTAAAGGGGTTTGAGGAGCCTGTCAGTGACACTTCCATTTTAACTGTAACTTATTTTAAACCTCTGAAATAGTAACAATTTGGAGAACCAACTGTAGAAGACACTTGAGTTTTTTCAACAAATCCTAGAAACTTGACACTTTCTCTTGATCTGCTGCAGAACAGTCTGTAAGCACTAGCAGATTTTAAGCATAAGTTCTGCCTTACTGGAGTCACATCAGATAAAATGAAAATCAAGTCAGCAAAAAGCTAAAACAGGGGAAGTGTGGAAAGCCGCTGTTAAAAACTACTCTTATGTCTTCCTGAGTTGCCACGGTGACTTGCTTTTATGTCTAAATGGAGAGATAAGGTGGATTTCAGTTGTCAAGTCTGCAGAGGCACAGAATGAAAATAACTTTGTGTGTTTTAAAGGAGCTAATAGCAGGTTTGCCTATGGCAGAAATGGCGATTGATACATTACTACTTGGTTGTCCTTGTATGCAAACTGTAAGTTATACAAATAACTTACAGTTAATTAGCCCTTAAGAGGGTAGTATCACTTGCTTACTCACCTATTTGGACAGGTTGTCATCCATAACTAAGTTGTGTGTCTTTTCACTTCTTCTCAATCTGTAATCAGAATTATTGGGAAGGAAATGCTGATATGCAACACTTTCTTTTCTGAGTATGTCCTTCAGGAAAAATAGTTGTGCAAAAGTCTCTCCTATCCATAGGACCCAAAACAGGGTACACAGGGAAGAAAATGATGTGTAGGTATATTCAGTGACTTTTATTTCATTCTTTTAAACTAGGGAGTTAGAGGGGGGAGGGGTGTTGGTGGGGTGGTGGTTGGTTTTTTTTTTTTTTTTTGCTTGCTTTTTCCATTCCACAATTTTAAGTCCAGTCACTAGCATTGGGTAATTAGTTGAAGCTTTCATTTTGTCCAGAGTACTTGTTCTGTTTGTTACTAGCTCTGAAAATGCTAAGGTTCTGAAGTTACTAGGGGGAGACAATAAGCACCTTCTAATTTATTAACTTCAAAAAAGTAGAGTAATTGATCTCTACTTCCCTTCATGTTGGTGAGGTACCATATGTTGCATTATACATATATCTTGCTATTTAGGCAAACATACCTCACACAGGAATGAACTTCACAGAAGTATTACACAGCTTTGGAAATTTTTGCTCAATCTTGCTACTGCCTGTTTACCATGGAGAAGGCTGGCTAGAACCAGTCACCTTTTCATAAAATCTAGCTTTTTATTTAAATGTAATGTCATACTCCCATTGGAGAGAGAGTTATTAGAATTTAAATATCGGATGTGCCATTCCTATCTTACTGACCCACATCAGTTGAGCTGGTTGAGGGCAAATGTTGAGAATCACTTCTGTCCTTCCCTTTGCAATGTCAGGGTATGAAACAACATGCTCAGTTCTCTCTGCTTCTTGCTGCCATGTGCTTTCTTCCCTCAGGCAGAGCAGCACATGCTGTGGAGAATAGAAGTGCTGCGACTAAGTGTGCTCTAAGAGCACTCTTACTTCATGCTCTTTTTGACTCTAGATTTCTGTGTCTTGCAAGGATCCTTATGACTGTCAAACTCCCTTTCTTCATCTCCTCCCTTTATGGAAGCAAGCTCTCCAGAATCTCTGCTGAGTCCTGCTACTGCTGATGTTGGTTGTTTACTTGCTTGGTTTTGCAGCATTCCTGATTGGCAGTTAGAACTGTCAAAGACCTAATTCTGTTTTTTATGTGAAGCTGTTCTTAGCAGAAATTAGAGCTGAGAAGTAGTGACATAAAGCATACGAAGGAGTTAAAAACAGAAAGGCAAGAAAGAGGATGTGAAAAAGATGCATATACTAGCCCTTAACTGATTGCTGATTATACAGAAGAAAACTTTACATTTCTGTGGCACTCCAGGCTGTTGTGCCAGTATGCTTTAAGCACTGGGTAGTATTCCTTAAGTCTCTTCCAGACATTCAAGGGAATACTTACTCGTTTCAGAATATTTTGCTGGTTTGACTTTTTCTTTCTTGGAACCCAAGTAACAAGTAAATTTTTCTGTAATATTGACTTCAGAGTTCAGTGACCCGTTCTGTGAGCCAAGCTGGCAGAGTTACACTGAGCTGTGTAGGTACTGCTCAGCAGCTATCAGGTAGCTTCTGATGTCCAAGTGAGTGGCATCAATGGGTGGGGATGTGTAACTGACTTTGCATGGGAGGATGGCTGCATGCATTTCCCCTGTACACCATCCTTGGCAAGGGAACTGCCTGTTGATTGGGCCTGTGCACATCAGCATCTTATTATGCAGATTTTTGTTTGTTTTACCTGAATAAATGTTCTTATGAACTCCATACATGCAAAGTGCATTACAAAAGACGAACATGTGGGCATGTACAGCTGCGTATAATACAGGAGAAGGAGCTTGTATTGAGATAGGGAGGACTGGAGTGCAAGTGTCTGAGGAACACTTTTATTTCTGTAATACTTCTGTTCTTAAAGCTCACCTCAGGATCTGAATTATCACCGTACATGGCTTCACAAACTGCTAGTGAAGCACACTATTTTCTGTGATAAGAGAACCTCCCAAGGCAAGCAGGGAAAAAAGCCAACAGAAGCGTGGAAGAGATTGAGTGGAGAGTAGGTTTGGAATCAAACTCTAAAACCAGAAGCTAATGCCACTGTGCTGTAGTCGCCCATATGGTTCATGCTACACTTCTGTGTGGGTTCTAGTTCATGATGCTGTTGTTCTATAGCTTCCAGTGTCTCCGCTTTGCTTACATGAACTAAGTGCATAGCGGCTAAAATAAAACTTGTCTTATTTAATCACTAGTGTGTTTTTATTACAGGACTTCTGCAAGCAAGAATTCCCTTTTATAAAGAACAACCCCCTTGAAACCAAACTTGTATTACTTTTTATGCTATTCTTGTTACAAATGGAAGATTTCAACTGCTGTAAGCTTGAGATGGCTGAGTAGTAGAAAATTGAAGGTATCCACAAAGGCAACTTTCTTCTATAAGCTACCTAGTCAAAAGTAGTTTGTCTGCTTTATTAGTAACAGCTGCTAAGCATATTTTAGTGAATCACAGACATAGTGTTTGCGTGCTGTAGTGACCTTTTATTAGTAGATGCATTTTTGTTAGTTAATGTTTGTGTAAACAATAACCACAGTAAACATGCTGCCCTTTGCACCCCCCTGGAAATTTATCCGCATCACACCATACAGTAACAAACAGGGTTCTGAGTAATTAAATGGGTTGGGTTGTTTCAGTCCTGGCAGCAATTAAGTGTGGGCATGAACTTTCTTAAAGGAAGTGTGGGGTTTTTTTGTGGGAGCTATCTTGCTCATTAGAAGGAAATCTTCTCACATGGGCTGTTCACATGAAGTGAAGGGAGTATTTCTTTCTTTCTTTCATATAAATGAGCTCTCTGGGTAATGAGTTGCTGTAATAGAGACCTAACCTTTGGAAACAAAGCAAGCCAAAAGAAAGCAACTTTAATTTCTACTACAAATGTCTATTGAAAACCCAGACCTTTGTTTTACAACAGTCTACCTTCCAGTTTGGCATTAATCTCTTGTATTACTTTCTCTGGACCTTCAGCCTGCATACTGAGCTGGGATGTGCTGAGGATGATGAGGGATAGCTATAGATTGCATTTGCATTCTTGAGTGATGGTGAACTAATCAAATCTGTGCAGGTTGATACCAAATGTCTACTGGAAAACCAAAATGTCTGTTAGCCTGTGGCTTTTTTTTCAAGCTACTATTAAAGGTTGCAGCTGAGAGTGTTAGGTGATGTTATATGAGATTGACTCTTTGACTGACTTACACTTCTGACTGTTGGAGACTTAGACAGTGTCTGCTTGGCTGATGATGGACCAGACTCTGGATTACTGATCTTGTTCTTAATGCTGCTGTGAAGCACATACAAACCCCTCACAGTAGTGTGCTCTGGCACATTAGGCAGGGGGGACACACTTCCTCCTTACTCCACTGTCTGAGATTGATTCCACCTGCAGTTCTGCATCCAGCTCTGGGGCCCTCAACATAAGAAGGATATCAACCATTTGGAGTGAGTCCAGAGGAGGCCACAAAGATGCTCAGAGGGCTGGAGCACCTCTCCTGTGGAGACAGGCTGAGAGAGTTGGGCTTGTTCAGCCTGGAGAAGAGAAGGCTCTGGGGAGACCTTACAGCACCTTCCAGTACCTGCTCGGGGAAGCCCTTACAGCCCCTTCCAGTACCTGAAGGGGCTACAAGGAAGCTGGGGAGGACTTTTTACAAGGCTCTGTAGTGACAGGACAAGGGGTAACGGGTTTCAGTTTAAAGTGGGGAGATTTAGATTAGATATCAGGAAGAAGTTCTTCCCAGAGAGGGTGGTGAGGCACTGGAACAGGTTGCCCAGAGAAGCTGTGGATGCCCCATCCCTGGAAGTGTTACAGCCCAGGCTGGACAAGGCTTCGAGCAACCTGGTCTAGTGGAAGGTGTCCCTGCCCATGGCAGAGGGTTTGGAACTAGATGATCTTTAAGGTCCCTTCCAACACAAACCATTCTATCATTTATGCAGGCGTTGGGGAGTGTGAAGTGAATTAACTGAAAGTGTGAATACAAAGTGGATGCTTTTAAAGCATGTTAAATACTTGTGTGGATGCTCTCCATTTAGACATAAGATGGCTTTAGTTCCCTTTAGCTTAATCCTCCTTCAAAGGGGATTAAGCTAAAGTGAAGAAAAAATAGATTGAACTCATGTGTGGACATTAATGTGAGTTATCTTCCTTTCCCTAGATATCCTTCTACACCATGACCTTCAGGATGTTTTAGGAACAGTTGGAGCTCTTCAGGCTTTATTAAAGCTAGAACTGAGTATCTGGAATTCAGTATTTCAGAATAACTATCGCACTCCATTGAGAAGGATAACAATCTCCTAACAAACTGTCCTTTGAGAGTATAAACAGCATGTGGAGGAGATAATGGGCTAATGACAAACACACATACACACAGGCTTAGAACATAATGGACTGAATTATTTTTGACCATTTAAGGGCAAGCTAGCATGTCAAAGCTGTATTAATGTTTTCCCACAACATAATCATAGGATATAATCCCAGAGATGTTGAGGTTGGAAGGGACCTCTGCATGTTATCTAGTCTCTTCTCCCTGTTCTAGCCAGGCCACCTAGAGCCAGTTGCCCAGGACCATGTCCTAATGGCCATGTTCCGGTTGTCATGTCTTTGCAATTTGTCTTTTCTGACATGCACTTCTGAACCCAAAGACCCTGGGTAGTTCCTACCTTCACATCAAGTCCTGGTGCACCCTGTGGGGGTTGACAATAGGGTAACCTGGCAGGATCTGTGCCTTTGTAGCTGTAGAAACAAGAAAGCTAAATTGTGTACAAATAAGCCATATCCCATGAAATCTGATTTTTGGGGGGTGTTATGTAATTGTGGTAGCTGTATGTGGGCTTTTGTAGCAGCTGCAATGCTAACAGACCTTAAAATAGATTCTATCTTATGTATGCAACCTTTTTTTGGCTTTTATAGGATAGTTCAGGCTGGGAGGGACCTCAACAGGTCTCTGGTCCAACCTCCTGCTTGGGTCAGACAGGGCTGCTCAGGGCTTCTTGCGGTCAGGGCTTAAAAAACTCTTAGAAAGGAGAGTGCACAGCCTCTCTGGGTAGCCTGTGCCACTGCCTGACTGCGTGGTGAAAAACTTCTTATATCTAGGCTGAACCTCTTACATGTCAGCTTATGACTGTTGTCCCTTGTTTTCCAGCCCTGCACCACTGTGAGGAGTCTGGGGTCTGTCTCCTCCATGGTCTTCCCAGAGGTACTGGCGGCTGTTGTCAGGTCCCGCTGAAGCTCTCTCTGCTCCAGGCTGAACGAGCCCATCTTTCCCAGACTCTTCTTGCGGGGGCTGTGCACCAGCCCAACCATCTCTGGGGCTTCCACGGCCAAACTTAGATGGATTTGAAGTCTGTCTTGTATTGCTGAGGCTCAAAATTGGATGCAGTATCTAAATAAGGGCTTTCCTGGTTTACTATCAGTTCTGTACTCTGAGAAATTGTGCAGCATCAGCGCTGTATAAAAGCTGCTCTTGGGAAGAAATGGCAGTCTTCAGGACAGGTTCTTAAACACCTTCTCCCCTAAAGAAGGGAAGCTTTGGTGATCCTTAATAAATGACCATTCACTTTTAGGGACTTGAGTGTTGATTCATTTTTGTCAGGATAACCAGCCACTCTGCTTGGAGCAGCTAGATGCAGAGGCAAATCAAATCCAGGGTGTAGTGGCTCCCTGGATCCTCAGCAACCATGATAGGGTGAGCCGTGCTCCCTTCTCACCTAGTCCTGTTTCCCCAAAGCATTAATAGGAACTACATGGCCTTTTTTTTTTTTTTTTATGGGAATAAGAATTTTGTAGAAATACTCTCGAACTCTGGAATTGATTTACTCTGTGCTTCCAGTTCTGGTGTTTTGTGCATGGTTTTCTGTTGTTGGGGAAGACTAAAAAGCATGATTTAACTCTTACCACGCTAAACATTTGCAGTGTGAATGCTGCTTTTGCTTTAAAGGTGCCTTTAGGCAATGGGAATTCTGGGTGAGGAAGTACCTTAGGCTTGTGTGGTGACCTTGTTGAAAAAAACTCTGTTCCAGACTCTTATTTTCAAGCTTCTTTTTTTTTTGCCAGGATGTTTGTCCAGTTATGCCTGTACTTCTACTGCAAGTGCTTGTGGCGCTGCCTGAAATTTGTGGTCAGGAAACTAACGGGTCGATGTGAATTGCAAAGGATCTGTTACAATACCAAACCTGGAGCTGCCAGAACTATGAAAATAGGTAACTGCAAAATACTTGGTTCTGCATGCCTTTGTACCTTTTTGCATGTGCTAAAAATAGTATGACTTCATTTTTGTAAATTAAAAAATCGTTAAATGAGTCCAGTATAAACCTAGCTTGTCTGACACAATGCTTTCAAATGCTGTTCTCTTACAGAGGCATCACTGAAAGGTTCAAAAAGTAAGGTGAGTGAAAGGTCTCATCATTCACCTTTTCCTTTATGTCCTGTGCAGTTGGTTTGTTCAGTCCACTGTTGGCTCACTGCAAAAAAATCACTTTGAGGTTTGATATGATTTTACCTTAAAAACATCTTGTACTGAAAAGGGTCCTATGTCTGCAATAGCAGATGATCTTGCAAAGTCAGGGAGAGTGTCCTGTGCTCCAGGGACAGGCATGCTGTCTCTGTGGAATCAAGGGGGCAACAGGTTGTGGTGGAGACTGAGGGTGATGTGTTGTAATTTGGGGTTTCTTGCTTGCCTTGATTTCTCATCCTGTCTGTAACCTGAAGTCAGTCACTTACATACTTTACACCTCAGGGTTTTTTGTCTGGAATGCAGGGATAAAAGAGGCTGAAGGCAGCAGTACCTAGATAGACAAGACAACTTTGTTCTCTGATTTCCTTCTAAATATGTTAATAGAAGAGCCCCTGTTATTTATCCTTTCATTGTAGTACTGGTGGTGCTAACCTAAATTCTTCTCACAAAGCATTTGTGTATATCTTAAATAGCACCAATTGTTCATTGCTCCTTGGCATTAGTGATGTTGAAAAGCTTACTTCAGCATTAGCAAAAATCATAGAATGATGTCCCATAGCTCATAGTTCAGCATGGTACCTCCCAAATATACTTCTAGCAGAAACAGGAAGGCAGAATCTTGTTGAAATGCCTGCATTTAAGCAATTGTGTAGTTTTGAGAAAATGCACCAGAAAGTTCAACCTCTTAATTTTTTTGGAAGGCATGTGAATTTTCAAATACTGAACTTCCAGGGACATCTCTACAAAGTGCAGTGACATGCAAGAGAGGAAAAATGTGTTGGGAAGAGGGGATGTGAAACAAAGGCTAACAATTTCAGTGCAACAAGGTGGATGGTCTAAAACTGCTCCTTGATCAGAGGCATCAGTGAGATCATCTTCACTGGCAGGTGCCACAGAAATGGGATAGACTTGACTACAAGGGCATGACAAAGCAACTAGCGTTTTTATGGGTCTGGTGCACTGAGACTAGTCAGTAGGGTTGAATAGACTGGAAAGGTCTGTGTGTATATGTATATATATAGAGAGAGGGAGTTGGGCTTCCTGGGCTCTTAGTCTAGATGCTTTTGGGTATCAAATTTACCATTGTTAACTTGAATTCAACTATATTGAATAATAGCATCCACAAGAATTAATATGTGTTTAAAACCTCTTTTTAGCGGCTGCAAACTTCAGTAAGTGTTCATCCTGATGCTATTGAAAAAACTATAGATGACATCATGGAGCTGAAAAGGATTAATTCAGATATAAATCCACAGTAAGTTTATGGTTTCCTTACAAAACAAATGGGAACTATTGATTTCTTCAGTCCCTAGGTCCATGGAGAACGGGTTCTCCATAGCTATTGTGGCACAGAAATTGATGAATTTTGTGTCTCACCATAAAATGCCAACTTAAGCTTTACTGTCAAAAAGCTGATGGAAAAATGAACGATCTTTTATGGTGACTGTAATAGGCAAGTTCTGAGTCTCTTTATCTAGCTGCATCCTGAATCATGCTGTCTTAACGTATTGTTGTTGCATTGATTTATGGGGACCACTTCCCCAGGGATAAAATGCCAACAAGGCAGGTGGTCCTGGTGGTGACAGTGATGGCTTCTTAGCAAGGCTGTACACAGTCTTTTGAGCAGGGAAGAAATCATCCTGTTGTAAAGGATATAAATGGTAGACTGGCTTGCATTTTAAAACTTCCTTTAATTATCCAAACATGATCTTTAATGATACAACATGGTCGTTATTCTTTTAATGCTCCAAGATGTTAGTGGTAAGAAGAGATTGTGAACAAACCATTAAACTTAAAACCATGTGTTCCAAGAGTAAGTGATAACACTTTTGTGGTTGCCTTACCTCTCAGCCCTCAGCTTAAGACACAAGATGGTCTAGGTCAGGAATTGGTGGGAGAAATGTTGAGGTTTGTATTATTCAGGTGATCAATCTGAGGTTCACTCCTCTTCCCAAACTTGATCAAACTAATTTAAATGCGTCTCCACAAACTGATAGCTGCTTTTCTTTAAGTGGTCAGTAGTATCAACAGGTAAGGTGGTCCCAAGGTCTCATTGCAACAAAACCCAGAAGCTCAGTTGGAAATACGTGGGGTTTTTTTTCGGTCTCATTACACGAGTAGTGAGTGAAAAGCAATAGTAACTGGGTACTTTTAAAACAAGGCTTCACTGATGATAAAGGAGAAGTTAGAGCACACTGGGTGTATCTATGAGCAACAATTGTGGTGGACATGACCACTGACCACCTGGATTGAAAAAATGGCCACTCAACCATGAAAGGGAAGAAAATAAGAGACACAAAGCAAGCACCTTGTTCTCACAGATGAGACCCCTGAGAAGTTGTTCTGGGAGTGGGCCCAGAGGTTGTCGTGTCATAGGACCTTACCCGCATAACCTTCAAAGGGAGGGAGGTGAAAGAGCAGCTGCTTCAAGGGAATGCAAGGCCGTGCTGACGGGCTGCTTACCTGAGGGAGTGTCAGCTCTAGTTACACAGGGCACTGATAGCTGAAATTCAAGAAAAAACAGTGATGGCAAAATTAGTAAAGGTGACACATGAGGAAACTGCAGGATGTAAACATGCACAGCTCAGAGCTGGCCTGTGGACTTGAGCCTTAGCAGTCAGGCTGATTCATATACTTCTCCATCTTGGACCCTTGGGTAACTGAGTGGAATAATTCCAAGAAAACACAAGGAATGCATTAAAATAGTATTTTATATGATACAGGAGATCAGTCTGATTTTCCTCATGGCATTACCTTTTGACCTCTGAAGAAATACTGTCTTCCAGAAGAGAGAGAGCAAGCACAGGGGTGCAAATGACTTCTGCTTGGTTGAATCAGGCCCCCAGATTTGAGTGATGTGTTTATAATATGAAATAGTAATTTAAAAACGCTATCATATTTTTTGTTTAATCCAGGTGGTGTTCATATGCCTAGGGCAGAATAAAGGATTGATAGTTTTAGGACTATAACCCATGCACTAAACACTTCACTGGACTGATTGTTTCACACCCCACCCCCTCAATTTGGTGAAATATCTCTTTAAAACACTGAGAATTAAGAACCTGGCATGTGCAAGGTGATGCCACATAAATAGAAATGAACCCTGCCACTAAAGTGCTCCTAATTAAATTAATTTTAGTTCCACTAAACTTTAAGCATCTACACTGAAGTTTTACATGGGAGCAATTTCTTTTATACTAATTTTTTCTGGAGAAACTTCAGCAAAAGCAGGTCAACTATTTCTTTAGCTAGGATCAAGGAAAATCCATTGGCTTGCCTATTCTTGAGCATAAACCCTGCATATAAGCTGTCTTGTTCAGAATCTCTGGCCTTCAGTTCCGTAGGAGAGACTTGAAATCATAGAATCATGGAATGGTTTGGTTTGGAAGGGACCTTAAGGATCATCTAGTTCCAACCCCCCTGCCATGGGCAGGGACACCTTCCACTAGACCAGGTTGCTCAAAGCCTCATCCAGCCTGGCCTTGAACACTTCCAGGGATGGGGCATCCACAGCTTCTCTGGGCAACCTGTTCCAGTGCCTCACCACACTTTCTGGGAAGAAGTTTCTTGTAGCCCCTGCAGGTACTGGAAGGTGCTGTAAGGTCTCCCCGGAGCCTTCTCTTCTCCAGGCTGAACAAGCCCAAATCTCTCAGCCTGTCCCCATAGCAGAGGTGCTCCAGCACTTCGATCATCTTCGTGGCCTCCTCTGGACTCTCTCCAAGTGGTCTATATCCTTCTGATGTTGGGGGCCCCAGAGCTGGACACCATATTGCAGGTGGGATCTCACAAGAGCAGAGTACAGGGGCAGAATCCCCTCCCTCGACCTGCTGGCCACACTTCTCTGGATACAGCCCAGGATACGGTTGGCTTTCTGGGCTGCCAGCGCACACTGCCGGCTCATGTCCAGCTTTTCATCCACCAGTACCCCCAAGTCCTTCTCCTCAGGGCTGCTTTCTATCCATTTTCCACCCAGCCTGTACTTGTGCTTGGGATATCTCCTGGGATAAGGACAGGGAGCCATGTGCCATACTGCGTGTGTTTCTGCAAATCTGTATGCAGTCATTTTTGTTACTGTAGAATTTCTGCGGAACTGAACTAGCATCCCAGGGGTGTTGGCACTGAACTGTTCTTGAATGCCATGGCCTGCCATGACCTGAAGAGAGAGAGGGAGGCCCTTTATCAATGCCTCTAAGAGTGTGTATGTTTAGTGGTTGGAGCAAATAGGTTGAATAACCTGGTGGTGACACATGCAGTCAGCACTGACTATGGTGGGAGTTCCTGAAATACTTCTAGTTTTGGACTCAACTCTGTCTTGTGGAGCACCTGGAACTGAGTGAGGTGGAGATGCAAGACCAGGCAGGTTGCTTCTGCGCCCCCAGAACTGCCACCACCAGCATGGATGGCAGGGAGAGGTGGGGAGCATCAGCAGTTCACCTGTCCTCTGGTGCTGCTGGGGAAAGAGGAAAAAGGTTAATGAAAAAGAGAGTGGGAAAACTAACGCCTGCCCCTCTCACACACACACACCTCCCCCAAATAACATTGCACGGAACATTTGACTGGCTCTGTCTGAAGTAAAACATGGTATACTTTGTGGATGTTGTGCAACTTGGGGGTTAAAAATGTTGAGGTTTTCCTAATATAAAATTGTTTTGCTTTGCCACTGCCTGTGGTGTTCCACGCTAACCTATTCTGAGGCTATTGAGCAGTTAAAAACATTACGGCTGTGGTTTAGTGATGCAGTACAGCAATTCACATGCAGTCTTGTCAGGCTTTTCAGCTTTCTTTGAAATGCAGCCTTTCTGTAAAAACTGTAGGGTATAGCAAGTGAAGCATGTTTTTTTAAAAAAAAAAAAAAAATGCAAAGTAGGGAAAACACTGCATGGGTTATTCCAAAAGGCTTATAGCCACAAATAGCATGACATTACAGCAAGAGAAATGGCCTAATGATATCTCTGATTCTGTAGATTAATCTCAAAAGATAAGCCGTGAAAATCCTTCTGCTCCGAAAATTTAACAGTATTATGGAATAAACAAAATGTTTCAGTGTATCAAACCAGACAAATGAGGAACCTGTGCAGCTTAATATCAGTCCAGTCTCTGTTCCAGACGAATGAGGGTATGGATCTAACTGCTCTCCAAATTCATATTAGGCATTCAGACAATCTCAGCCAATATTAAAAATTAAAAGGTTTATTCCCATATATAATTAAGTATTCTTATAAGCGTGGCATAACTTTTATGTAATACTGTAAAATCTTAACCTAAAACTAAATATGTCTTTGTAATGCAAAGCCTTGGAAGCCACATGTTTTGGTGGGAATTTTTGTTTTGGCTTTTTTGAGGGGGTGTTTGTTTGTTTGTGTTTCTTTTTAACAATGCATCCGGAAATGTAAAAAGGAAATGTAAAATCTGCATTATAATAAAAGGAGCCATTATGGTGAATCTTAAAATGAGACCGGAAAAAAAGCTGTCTAGAGGCAGATCTTTGAACTACATTACTTCAGGTTTTTGGCAGCTTTATGCAGCCTTTTGTGGCATGGAAGAAAAATGACTATTTTTAGCTTTTTGCTGTGTTCTGCCCCCCCCCCCCCCCCTTTTTTTAAGTTCACATCTCTGGTCTCAGGGCATTGTTTGAGAAGCTGCCATTTAAATGAGAGGGATGATTTTGTGATGTGCTTGTAGCAGGCATTCAACACAGCTGTGTGTAGTTACGACGAGATTTCAGTGTGTGAAAATTCACAGTTAAAAGATTTAAAATTCCCAGATTTTAAGGAAGGCACTCAATAAGACTATGCATTTTTGCAAGGCTTTGTTTAATGTAATACTGATCTCTTGGAAATTCTTCTATTGTAGCATTGCTACACCAGTGAATTGATAGCCTATTACTCATGAATTAAACAAGTGTGTACATGGTATTGCTGTTTCGTGGTTGATACATGACTGAGCTGGATTATGTTGCTCCTTCCCTCCTTCTCAGGCTGGGAGTATCTCTTCAGGCATGCCTGCTGCAGATTGTAGGGTACAGAAATCTGATTGCAGAGGTTGAAAAGCTGCGCAGAGAGCCGTATGATTCAGAGAATCCACAACATGAGGAAATGCTTCTCAAGGTAGGTGCTTGAGTGCTGGAGATACTTTTAGGGCATCCTTTTTTCATGCCAGCTCCAAATGGCTTTGTTTATAAACCTCTTTAAAGCATGGATAAATACTGTTGCCTTCTTCTATTGTGTACTTGCTTTAAGATTAGGCTATACAGCGTGTGAATCTAGTCTGGGTGGAACACAAACCAAGCAAACAGCGCATTCCCCAGTTGATGAATTGAGTGCTGGAGATACTTTTAGGGCATCCTTTTTTCATGCCAGCTCCAAATGGCTTTGTTTATAAACCTCTTTAAAGCATGGATAAATACTGTTGCCTTCTTCTATTGTGTACTTGCTTTAAGATTAGGCTATACAGTGTGTGAATCTAGTCTGGGTGGAACACAAACCAAGCAAACAGCACATTCCCCAGTTGATGAATGCATGTCCCTTGGCTGGACTATTTCTAGGCACTGGATACCCAGCTCTTACTGCAGATAACAACTCTGCACTACGAGCTCTAGAAAAACAGGCGTATGTCTTACTTCAGTGCACATTTCTGTAAGAGGAGGAAGGTATTTTTCTCTCATAACCGGAATATATTTTCCTAAATATCTTGGATTTTTGAAAACAATTCTGTATATCCTAATGCCAAACCTCTGTGTTTCATCACGTGGGACAGGAGGTTGGGAGAAAACTTACACATTTATGTTTAACAAATACATTTTCAAACTAAAAGAAAATTAAATCATTCTGTCGATAATACAGGCACAGTGATGAAAACCTTACCAATTGGGTTTTACATGTTTCATGCCTTCAGGAAAGCTTTGTACTGGAGCAGATAATAAAAGTATCTTTTTAGGAAGCCGTTCTTGAAACCATAAGCAGAGAGAGAGCTCTTACATTAGAAAGGAAATCAGAAGAAAATAAAGGGGGTGGAAAATAGTCTAGTAGCAAGTCCCAATATTTCTTCTGATCCTATTTCTGAAGGTAGATATGATATGTAACATAGTGATATATTAGCTTATCTGCAAGCAAAATGCCACCTTACAGAATTTTCGGGCATCTTATAAAAACATACTACCTATCTTTTTAATTTTTGCAACAAAAATATTGAAAGCTTAAACACTTCCTTTGCTTCTGTCCCTATGCAACTTTGTTGGGATTTTTACAGCATGATGATGAAGCAGTTTTCCATGCTCCAGTTTGCAGTGTAATGTGTTAAATAAGTTAGTGGGAGCTTATGGGAATGTTACCTTAGTTACTTGGGCTTCCAGGCACTTCCAAAAATCCCACTAGACATCTTACATAAGCACTTACAAATGCAAATAGTTAGTTGTAAGAAGTGCATCAAATGGTCAAAGAGCTCCTGTAGGTGTCTGGAAAGCTGTGTTTAAAGGTTGGCTTCTTGCTGGGAGGTGGGAGTCTGGAGAAGGGGGAGTCAAAATCCAGAGCTACACCTCAAGGAGTGCTCTGGCTACCAGGTAGGATGAGGCAGATGGAGTTCACCTATTCAAGTCCTGCTGCTGTGCAGCTGAAAGTGCAAATTTCTGGGGGTGAAGGTGGCTTTAACTGAAAGAACTCACAGATTTACCTAATGAGAAGCTTTTATTCTTGGAAGTGGGAGGTCCAAATGACATCCTGCAATGTGGTTAACTGGCTGCAGGCTTAATGAGGACCTTTGGCTCCAGGAAAGCATTCCTAAATGCATTGGGCATCTACACTGCACAGAGAGCAACAAGTTGGGTCTGTGGATGGGATCACAGGTGAGGAGCTGGCTGTGGTCTCCTTCCCAGACTGTGAGGAAGGAGCCTGCCAGGCTGAGCAGGCCTGAGCCTGCCAGGTCCTGGTTCTTGGATGTTCCTGGGAATCATGTCAGCAATGATGTGTAGTCATGTAAGTGCTTTAAAAACAACCGCAGGAGAATAAAAGAAGAATGGACACTGAGCGTTTGTCTGAGGGGAGATTAAACAGTGCAGCTTACACTGCAAAATTGTTTAATCTGCACTTACGTGCTGCATTTACGTGCTGCATTTACGTGCACTGCTGCACGTAATCATAGAATCACAGAATGGTTTGGGTTGGAAGGGACCTTAAAGACCATCTAGTTCCAACCCCCCCGCCATGGGCAGGGACACCTTCCACTAGACCAGGTTGCTCAAAGCCTCATCCAGCCTGGCCTTCAACACTTCCAGGGATGGGGCATCCACAGCTTCTCTGGGCAACCTGTTCCAGTGCTTCACTACTCTGGAAGAGAGTAATGAAGTAATGGTGAAGAAAGTATCAGTTTCACCATCTGCCTCCAGTGTAACCTGTGTATTAGCACTTGTTTACAGCAGGTGTTTTGCTTCTGAAGATTCTCATGTCAAATGTTCAAGGGTTTAATTTGGTTTCCAACCCATATTGGGGAAGATTAGGCTGGTTGGTTTTCATTCCTTCTAGGTATTCTGCTAAGTGATCTCTGCAATGTGTAATTCAAGTTCCTAATGTCCATAACTTATTAATGTTTACCAGGAGGGCACTTTATGAATGAGAGAAAGATTAACTCAATGTGATTGAACTAATGAATAATACTGTATTTACTGCCAAAGGATGAACAAGAAAGATAGTAAATATGATTTAAACAATGATGCTTTATGCAGTCATTACAAAGTGAAGTCATTAAAGTTTTAAACTTCCGAAGACACTTAATTTTAAATGCAGTTAGAATTGCTAAAAGTAATAAAATTTCTGGGTTTTTTTCTGGGAAACATGCATGCAGCTCCTTTCCTTGTGTAGGCTTTGTCTAAGTGCATTTCTTGTGGTTCTGCTCACCAACTCATGGTTTAGGGGAGTATACTTGATTTCTTAATACACTTTGGGAAAGATGAGTTTGTGATATGACACGAGGTGTACGGAAATGTATGTATTTAGGGAAAGGCTGTGGTGGTTGTCAAACGCTTTACTGAAGTCGAGGTAGACAACATTTCCTACAGCATTCTCCTGGAGAAACTGGCTGCTCAAGGCTTGGGCAGGCATACTCTTCACTGAGTAAAATACTGGCTAATAATTTGGCCATATGCAAAGAGTTGTGGTGAATGGAGTTAAATCCAGTTGGCAGCTGGTCAGAAGTGCTGTTCCTCAGGGCTCAGTGTTGGGGCCAGTTCTCTTTAATATCTTTATCAATGACCTGGAGGAGGGGATTGAGTGCATCCTTGGTAAGTTTGCAGAGGACACCAAGTTGGGTGGGAGTGTTGCTCTGGCTGAGGATAGGAAGAATCTACAGAGGGATCTGGACAGGCTGGATTAAATGGGCTGAGGCCAAATGCATGGGGTTGAACAAGGCCAAGTGCTGGGTCCTGCATTTAGGTCACAACAACCCCATGGAATGCTACAGGGTTGGGGACGAGCGATTGGAAAGCTGCCTGGCAGAAAAAGAGCTGGGGGTTTTGTTTGACAGCTGGCTGAATATGAGCCAGCAACCCAGCAGTGTGCGCAGGTGGCCAAGAAGGCCAGTGGCAGCAGGAACAGTGTGGCCAGCAGGACTGGGGCAGTGATTGTCCTCCTGTACTGGGCACTGGTGAAGCCGCATCTCAAATCCTGTGTTCAGTTTTGGGCCCCTCACTGCAAGAAGGACATGAAGGTGCTGGAGCGTGTCCAGAGAAGGGAACGGAGCTGGGGAAGGGTCTGGAGCACAAGTCCTGTGAGGAGCAGCCAAGGGAACTAGGCTTATTTAGTCTGGAGAGAGCGAGCTTAGGGGAGACCTGATCGCTCTCTACAACTACCTGAAAGGAGGTTGCAGAGAGGTGGGGGTTGTTCTCTTCTCCTCAGTGACAAGTGACAGGACAAGAGGAAATGGCCTCAAGTTGCATGAGGGGGGAGGTATAGATTGGATAGTAGGAAGAATGTCTTCACAAAAAAGGTTATCAGACATTGGAATGGGCTGCCCAGGGAAGTGGTTGAGTCCCTGGAGGAATATAAAAGATGTGTGGATATGTGGTACTGATGAACATGGTTTAGTGGTGGACTTGGCAATGTTAGCTTAACATTTGGACTTGATGATCTTAAAGGTCTTTTCAAACCTAAAAGATTCTATGATTCTGTCAGACATGTTGATTTAGGCTGCTTTTAGGTGCCTAGCAACATGATGTTTAGGCACTGAAGTCAGTGGCCAGTGCAGCTAAGTGGATTTATTCCAGCTTGTTAAATCACTCTGTCCTCTTTTTTTTTGTGTGTGTGAGATCATTGAATGATTCACCCCTTAGTTAAATATGAAGGTGGTGCATGCTATTCTTGTATGGATTTTTATGTCCTCTGATTTGCTTTTCAGCACCGTGGTAGCCAACTCAGCACTCTTGATATATAACCCTTGCACAAGATGCTGGAGAAAAGATTGCTGCAGAGCCTCAGGGACCTGAGGGCTGATTGCCTGCTGCTCTGTCAGTGATTTACAACCAAATTCTAGCCCATTCCTCTCTCTGCGCTTATGGAGGCAGACACGAGTTTGAAGTACAAAGCCTGGGCAAAACAAGCCTCTGTGTGAGATGTTACAGCAGTTGCCGATAAGGTCAGAAGGACCTTTTAGGGCTGAATTGTCTGCAGTACTTCAGAGTGGTTTGGGATTTCCCCTACTCCACTCACCCTGAGGAATATAAATTGGTTTTATGTTTGGGTTGCTGGGATAGCAATGCAGTAATGTTACATCAGAGCTTAGCTTGGTTTAAAGAGAAGAAAAAACCTTACTAATGTGTGGAAGCTTAATTATGTTTTACCTGTAATCTTCCTAGTTGTGGAAATGTTTGAAGCCCAATTCGCCACTGAAAGCTCGGATTTCGAAGCAATGGTGTGAAATTGGTTTCCAAGGTGACGATCCTAAAACAGACTTTAGAGGGATGGGTCTCCTGGGCTTACATAACTTGGCGTAAGTATGTTCCTCTATAGATGGGTTTGTGTGTCCTGAAAAGCAGCATGATTTTTAAAAATTTTTTAAAATCTGCTGATTTTTAGCAAGTCTGTGGGATGGGTCTCCTGGGCTTATATAACTTGGCGTAAGTATGTTCCTCTATAGATGGGTTTGTGTGTCTGAAGTCATGAAAAGCAGCATTACTCTGCTGATTTTTAGCAGGTCTGTGGGAATAACTTAGAAAAGTGTTAGGGACTTCATACGAAAAAACCTGGAAGATTTTAATTCCTAGCCCAATTTTTGGAAGGTTTCTCATTTTGAAGGGGCCTCCTTTCTTTCAGTATTCCTGACTCAACTTGGTAATGCTGCTTGCTAAGCCCTTTTTTAGTTTCTCTGTGACACACAAAGTTAGCACTCTCTTCCCACAAGAAAGAAACTGTAAGGTATATTTTCACCAATAACTAGATCTCCTTAAACAAAATGCCCTGGAAGTGGGTAGGTGGGAGGGTTCTGTTACTGCTCAGCTTTCTTGTTTGGGAATTACATGCTAAATTTTTGGGCAAAACACTTGAAATGCAGCCACTGATGGCAGACTTCTGTGGTTGGAATACTTCAATTCCTGTCAATACTCAAAATTAAGCAGTGAGTTCATGTCACTGTTTCTTTCTGTTTCACTCTCACCAGGTGTTGGTACCATATCAGTGGTTGGTAATTTGGGAATTGATCAGTGCTTGTTATTTCCTTCAGCCCCTGTATTTACTGCAGGTAGTTATATAACTTAAACACTTGGTAAAATAACCTCTCCCTGTGAGGGGGGAAAAAGAAACATTATCTGCCCTTACAGATTAAGGGACTTAAATCATCCACTGTCCATATGTCATTCTCTAGAAAAGCTCAGTTGAGGATCTGGACTCATGACTCTGGCTTTGAACTTCCATTGGAGACGAATTCCTACCATGTATTTCATTTCTTAGTCTCCTGTGATGACTGTGATCTTGCTTAATGAATCTGCCAGATCAAGAAGCCTGATGTGCTTTCTCTTGAGCTCAGCAGCCAACATGCTCTAGTAATAAGCAACTGATTTTCTCTGGAGTGGGTAGAAAAGGGAATCTGGTAATACATGTTCACTAAGTGCTTATAGGATTGCATTTGTAATTTGAGGCTCCTTTTTATCTTTCATTTTTGCAGTTTGAGTGGTAACTTAATGAAATTAACACATTAAATGCTACTCATACTGCATAACAAGTGTAGTGATCTTTAAAAAGATGCATATGGACAGCTTAGTATAACTTAAAAATGTTTGGGTTTTTTGTAGTGTTTCTTTAACAATCTCCCCTAAATATATGTATCTGCAGGTATTTTGCCGAATGGGACACTGAGATAGCTCAGCAAGTTCTCTCTGACTCTCTTCAGCCTAAATACAGGTAATGCTTGAGACGAGAAAAAAATAACTTGAGAGCACTGTGCTGGCTGGTGTTTGGGGGTGGGGGGAGTAGGGGAGGGATGAAGTTTTTTATTTTCCTTTTTGTTGGACATGTGCTTGGATATTGCCATATTCTATTTGTTTTCAACTTCTGATCCTGAAAACTGATCAAATCCAAGAGACAAACTTTTATACTGCATCTTAGTAATAGTTAAACTTAGTTTTAAATGTTTTCACTTATACTTCTAATTTCAATTAATTTTGTATTTTTATTTACCTTTCTTTTAATTCTTTTGTCTTTTCATAATGAAGGGAAGTCACTAAGAAGGAAATAAGGTATTTTTTTTCTTTTCTTAGTTTTATGAGACCCTATATATAAATATCAAGCCATACTGCGATTTGGCATGTTATAAACTGGAGTTCTTTGCAACAGATCTGTATTCCTTTCTCAAAAGTTAAGTGTAGCTGATGATGCAACACTGGGTACATCTGAGCATGCTCAGATATAAGAATGAGGTCAACCTTGCTTGATGTGGATAAAGCAGTGTATTTTAGACATATTTAGTGCCAGGCTTAATGGACAAATTTTGGGTGACATGACCTGTAGGAAAAAAGTCTGAGCAGTGCCACTGTGGTCACAACAGCTGTGACTGACTTGATAATCAAAGGTCAAGGGCTTGTTAGCACAGCTGAAGAACCTCTTTGTTTATAGTCCACATGTGACTCCTGTGAAGCTTTTGATCTCTGTGTTTTGTGGGTGAATTCCCAATGGTAATTCTGTGACAGAAAGTACTTGGAACACATTAGTGTTCTTCATTTACATGTTTGCTTACCAAAGACTGCCTTGGAGTGCTGTGTGAGCATGTGCAGTTTCTGTCCCTTGAAAGAGCGTTCAGTAGAGGATAGATGCTGCTGGTGCCTGTGGTGCTCTTCCTGGTGCGGTTGCCTAGCAGCCGTGCTGGTTTCTGATGTGATCATGATCAATGTAACTTCTATTTCTGTTGAACTCCAGCTGCTTGTCCACATCCCACATGTGCCACCCTTATTATTCAATGTTTGCTTGGCGTTTTTAACTGATGTTACACCACGGCCTACAAAGGTGGTTAAGCTTTTAGAGAATGAGTGAAGTCTGATATAACCCTGTACACTAAACCATTCAGGAAGTAATGTTTGGTCCTTGTGCATGCCACCTGATAACACTCAGGTCAGGATAAGTGTCAACCTATTGGCATCTTTAATGCTTAATGGCAAGCATTTTTAAATGCCATATTTACAGGAAGCTCAGGGGATTGTTTTTAGTGTAATATATACTTGCTGTATAGTTTATACTTGCTGTATACATTGTTCAAGTATAGTCCAAGAACAGTGCTTTCACACATTGCTGTCTACAGTTTGGGATCTAAAGCTTGTAAATGCTGATCTGCCTTGCCAAGGCAGAACTCTTGCTGGCATGCCTCAGCTGTAACCCACTGGTTAGGGGCAGCTCCATGCCAAGCAATGATTTCTGCTAAACTTGCTCCATTTGAGTAGAGTAAAACCCGGTTAGTGGGATGTCAGCTGACTAGTTGCATCACACAACTCTTTTAAATGTTGTTGAACAGCACAAGTTTATTATTTTAAAATAATCACAGATTCACAGAATGGCAGGGGTTGGAAGGGACCTCTAGAGATCATCTAGTCCAACCTCCCTGCCATAGCAGGATCACCTGGAGTAGATCACATAGGAACAGGTCCAGGCTGCTTTTGAAAGTCTCCAGGGAAGGAGACTCCACCACCTCTCAATCTATTTCCTAGCTAATTTTGTTTAAACTGACGAACCTTCTGTGTCCTTGGAAAACTCTGCATTATTGTGCCAAATAATAGGAAATATTGCACCTTATTTTTGGCTGTTGAGTGGTTTCTAATTTAGCTGGACATGAAAACTTTCAGAGGAGTATTTTGTTTGCTGCCTCAAGTGAATCATGCCTCCAGTGATGAGTGTCATGTGTATCTTTGAAAACACAAAAGGCTAAACCCACCTTTGATTGGTTAAAAGAAATGTAGTATTTTCAACTTTTTTTAGAGCTCAGGCTTAATTGAAGTAGATTATCTTTGTGGTCAGTATAGAAAATAACTGGATTTCACTGAGAGCATTAACGTAGGCGCATACTTTGTAATGAGTAATTGATAAGTTTATCATCAATGGTATTAAAGCCAGTTACCCCTTTTTATCCTTTCTTCTTACACCAATCCATTCAGTCAGAAGCAAAGATAAATATGATTAGCCATATCAGTGGAAGTAAAATACTGTATTCAGTCAATGTCATCATATCAAAGAAGTTGAAAGAAAATATTTTTCAGTTAGTAATGCATGGCAATATATGAATTTGATTTTTTTTTTAATTTTTCTTTTTCCCCTCTCAGCCAATTCAGCAAAGCCGAATGGGAGAAGAAAAAATTTGATAAGGCAATTGGGTAAGTTAAAAGATCTTTTTAAAGTTGCCAGAAACACAATAGTTAACAATGATGCTGCATATTTGTGGGAAAAAAGGTGTTTCCTGGTTACTTTTTAAAGGAAACATCAGTGTATATACTAGCACGTATTGTCTTAACCACACCTTGATTTTGATCAAAGATTACAGGCAAAGCTGTTTGAAGTAAGAATTAGTGAAAATAACCCAAAAATGTTGCAGCTAGGAGAAGGTTTCTCTGTGTGCTATGAATAGTGCAGTGATGAATATCTGTTTAATTCTGCTTAGCACATAATGTGATCAAGTCTCATTTCTTGCTGTCAGAGTCAGCTTCTGATCTGCTTTCAGGAAAGTATAATAGGGAAGAAAGAGTAGTGAGTTTTTTTCTTAATCAGTAGGTTTGGTATAGCTGCATTATTCACGAGTATGGAACTCTATGTTCCTTTTGAGTGTAGCTGAAAATCCGTAATACAACATTTTAATGCCCATATTTAATTTTTCTGTGAAACTTGTTTTTAGGCCTCATGTTGCAGTTAACTTCCAAGCTTTTATTTTTTTTTTTTCCTCCTGAAGTGTATCAAAGCTTAAGGAAAAGTAGTTTGATTTGCTTGATAGAGATAATTGAAAAAAATACCCAGGACAGTCTACAGAAGACAGCTGTGTTTAAAGGAGGGGGGAAAAAAAAAGGCACTGAATAACCAAACAAGTTGCTTTTATCACTAAATATGGTACATAATAACAATGTTTTCTTGGGAAATAGTCACTGCCAGAAATGTCAAGTTCTTTATGCAACAGGCTCACATATTAAGAAATAACTTCAAATTTCTGAGTTCTAGGGACACCTTCCTTGTTGAGATCTCTTCGCAGGACAGTTTTCTTCCCGAGTCTTATTTTATTTGTTTCCAGTATGCTCTGACTGAATTTTTTGCCTGTTTTCTGGCCTGTGTCTAGTTCTTTTCCTAACAAGAAATTGGAGATGACTCAGCTGGATCTTTCACAGGCTTTTTAGCCATATGAATGTCTTTATAGGACTGATTGTCAAAACCTGATGTTCCTAGCAGTGTGTAACACAATCCAGTTTCCGCGGACGAGTTAAAATAAATGATGGGCCATCCTGCAGTCACAGCCACCATGTGGAGTGCTTGCCCCGTGTCAGGGGTGAACACAGGGGTGCCTGGGCTTGTTCATATTCCACAGGAATGAATCTGTGCTGCTCCACTGAAAATGCTGGCATGATGACAGAGCTCCTATTTTCACTGTGACCATATGTTTCATAAGGGAAATGCTGCCATTAGAGTGCCCAAAGCAGGCAGGATAAATGTGTTTCTTGTTTTCCAGCCCCCTACCTCAAAATCTCATGAGGGAGAGAATTAATAGACCTCAGTAGCACATGATCTGCAGTGTCAGTCATCAATCTTTCTTACAGTATGCTAAAAGAAGACAAAATCTCCACAAACGGTGTGTTTGATTTTTTTTTTTTTTTTACAGCTATTCTTTTGCCATTGTGGGCATTAACATAACAGACCTTGCTTACAACCTGCTTGTGAGTGGAGCTCTGAAGACCCATTTTTACAACGTTGCTCCAGAAGCACCAACACTAACTCACTTTCAGCAGACGTTCTGTAAGTGGTGGCAGCGGGGGGATGCAGAATTTGTGCTCAGGGTGATGCTTCTGTACTACCATACCTTAGGCAAGCAGACCTTGTAAATGTGCTGACATAGTCTTTAGACAATATCATGCTAGTTCTGCTCTGCTCTCTTTAGTATACTTAGATAAGATTCTAAGTTGTGACGTGTGCCAAACCAAAGGGCAAAAAAATCAAAACAAAAACCAACAAAAAAATTAGACTGGTCTTAAATATTAATAAGAAACTTCAAGGTACTTTAAAGAGCTTCTAGAGATGCTTCCCTGTAAATCCAGCTGTCGGAACATATCTGCATCTACATTCAGGTGTTACCCTGCCCCTTCAGTAGATTTGTTCCCCCTTAAAATTAATCCTTTCCCAGCCCTTTCCCCTGTATTCAAGCATTCCTTCTATGGCACAGACCTGCTGCACGTCCTCCACAGCAGGACCAACATTTCTAATATTTTTCAATGTGTAGGCAAGAAACTGCTAAGAAGTAAAGATGCACTTTCTTCCATATTTATGACAATCACAAAAGTTTTGTTGTTCTTAGTTTTGGTGGTTTTGGGGGGGATTATGTTGGGGTTTGAATTTTTTGTTATTTAGGTAACATTTTGTTTTGCAAGTATAACATTTTCTTATTGCTTAATTGGATAAATGGCAAATATTAGTGTTCTGTGCATCTCTGATTAAATCACACTATCTAATGAATTAATAGCTTTTCAGCACAAGGATGCTATTTAATGAGACTTATTCACCCAAAATCTTATGTGGGTAGATACTGTACTGTAGCTTGGCTCTCACTTTTGGCATGGTTGCTGGGTTGGTGCCCTAGATAGGCTGGCTGCTAGGAACTCCAGGCAGTTTAGCTGTTAGGCTTTTGTCTTTGGTGGTGTTTGACATAATAAATAAGACAAGTAAGTACCTACCTAAATATCCATTTGTGCATTTCCAGGTCATTTTCATTGGAAGGGTTGACTGTCTCTTCACCAAATTCCTGACATGCCAATAGCCTTGTGAATGGATGTCTGGTGTGATTGGTTTGGCTCCCATGTCTTCATATCCTCTTCTTGGTTCTGGTTTCCTTACACATCTAAAATCCCTCACCACTGCACTGGGAGAGAAGGGGAAGAGACATCTTAGCTTTAGAGTGTCTTGATGACACTGCCAAAATCTTGGTTGCTGGCAAAGCTTGGGACTGTGCCCCAGAAGCAGTGTCTGTTGACCAGCGTGGCCAGTCTGTCATGGCAACACTGATTTTTGACAGCTCTTCCCTCTACAGCCCATGCATGTGTGACTTAGGAAATGGGGATAAAACTTTCATGGGTCTCTGGTGTTGTAATGGGTCAGTAAAGGTGGTGGTTGTTCCTACAACACTCTGTCTGCCATCCTAGGAAAAACTTGACGTTATCAAATGGAATTCACTGTACAGAAAGCATCAACAGAAAACCTGTCCTGGGGCAAGGGTGATTCACCCAGAGATTA